GCAATTAAACTAGTAAATAATCCGGTCTATCATGCGAAAACGATGCATACTGGGATAAGTTATCATTTTAATAGAGGATTGATCAGTGAAGGAACGATGAAGTTAAAGAACATCTCTGGCGTTATGAATCCAAAAGATATGTCCACAAAGACTGTGACATTGGACAAGCTCAAGTTATGCATGACTTCAGCTGGTCATCATGAGAAATGACGAGAAGACTGGGGCAATCAAATGACGTTGAGAATTTTACAGTAGTACAATGGAGCGCAGATGTTTTCTAAGCCTCCAAGTGGGAGATTGTTAAGTGTAGGCTTCTTTAAGGGTAATTAATCCTAATGGGCTTATTGGAATTTGGACCTAATTCTGATAACCCTAACCTAGGCTATAAATGTTATCATCTATGTTTGTAAAAGAGGGTGTCTCCTCATATTGCAGAAATAAAAGAGATTACTGGTTGCCCTCGCAAACGTAAGTTGATAACTCTTATCGGTTGAACCATGTAATCCCTTATGTTCTGTTTTTCTTGTTTGTGTGTGTGATTTAATCATAACAATACTCATCAAACTAACAAAATCCACAACCTTTTCTTTAACGCGTAGAAGGGCCTAAAATCGCACTTGACTCCGTGATAACGACTTGTCACCTTGGACTCACCTTTTCTTTGTTATTCACAAAATTCCTAGTCATAGTCTTCCAATTAATTTGAACATCTCCTAATGTTTCCAACAAAGGACTCCCAAAGTCAAGTCAACACCACCCAATGGAAACAAGTAGCAATCAGCTTTATCTCATGACAACCGAGGCGGACTCCAACACCTCGAGACATGCCTTGACACTCCAATCGTCACCCATCACCTAATGTGACATCAAACTTTCCGGTAGGCTCAATTGATAACCCTATGTCCTCCACCATCCGAGGAGATACAAAATTATGACTAGCTTCATTGTCAATTAAAACAATTGTCCCTTAATTGCATGGTCTTTCGCCCTGACAATCGAGCTAATGAAAACAATGGCAAGGCACCTTGCGGGGTCATAAAATTGTCTAACCTCAACCGTAGTATTCGGAAGAGGTTTTTTACGCTCATTGTCATATAGTTCCAACCCCTAAGAATTTCATTAGGGAAATAACATGTAACTGCTTGTAGGGGAATTCGTGCAATGGATGGTTCATCTATTTACAATGGAAACATAAACTCTTAGCCTTTAATACATCTAACTCTTGCTTCGATAAACGCCAGAAAGGTGTACGAGCTATGGAGTGGCTTGAGACCGGTAGATTGTGCAGCTGGGTTGCTGGACCGTTGACTTTCTGGGCTGTCCCTGCCGGTAATTTCCCTGATTGGCCATGGAAGGGCGAGACAATGTAGATACACGAATGGGGGTTGACAAGGATCTGGAGTTTAATATCTTCTGTGTGGGAATTGGCGTAGGCGGCAGCAATCTAGTGGCTTGTAAATCCACTTCAATGCCACAGGTCAACGATCCGAAGGGTTCATCAGCCAAAATCGGTTTGTAATCAGATTATGCAACCCACTGAAGAAATACCTAATATAATGTTCATCATAAAGATTCGGCACTTGACTAACTATAAAACTTCATCAACATACGAGTCAATTGATTTATATTGTTTGAGTGAGGCTAGCCTCTCATATGACCCTTCTTTATATCGTTCATAAAAATGAGTCGTTAAGGCCCGCGTTGTTAGGATTAAATCACACATACAATACAAACAAAAAAACAAAACGCAAAGGATTACATGGTTCAGCTAATAAGAGTTATCGACCTATGCTTACGGGGTTAACTAAGAATCTCTCTTATTACTGCAATATAAGGAGGCACACGCTTCTACAAGCAGGGGAAATAGTATTTATAGACTAGGTTAGGGTTAATTGAATTTGGGGTGCCCATTATGGCTAACTACCTCCAAAGAAGCCTACACCTAACACGCGTAAAATCAACCATTTGGTTCTGGGATGGCGATCAATCAACATCATATACCAATACACTTTGGATCCTTCCATCATTACCATTGTGTGATGCACCCAAGATTCCTTGGAAAAGCCTTGAAGATAGAATTGTCTCTCAGCCCTTATGATCCATCCCAATGGGTCAGGCCCATCAAACAAGGGTAGAGAAACATCTAGGCGTTGTCCCATTGGAGGTGTAACCTCGCCCCAAACAATTGAGATTGCAGGTGCTGCCGTTGCAGCCGATGTTTTCAGGATAGGGTTATCAACGGGACGGGTAGGCTGCTATTGACCAATAACATCCAAAACTTTATTCCATCATTATCGTAAATCTTCCATCCTAGCAGTCCGGGCATTAATGGTTTACGTCAGTGCTTCCAATTGGCTTCCCACATTAGAAAAGTTCTCTTGTACTCCGGTAAACTGTGCCACAATTTTAGCCATCACTATTTGTGACATCGGCATGATTAGGCGGTCAGTAAAAGATCCAGCAAATTGGATCAATGATAGATAAAAAAGAATTAAGGAAAAACAAGTCAATCTCCCAAATCAGAGCCATAATCTCAAAACAATTAGAGAATATCCACTACCCTTTTGTGTTATTATGCCCTTATATACATATTGGACTTACTAATTAGAATTAAAATAAAAAATATACTATAATGGGCCACCATTAGGCTGAGTAATTTAGATCCATCTTAGATCGTTGAGTGTGAACCCATATGCTGGCGCGCCTTAGGAATCTTGTCATCCTCTACATTTCTGAAGCTCAACAAATCCAATCTTTCATTTTTATAGAGATTTTGAATTTCCTCTTCTATCGCCATGGATCATTTAGAAAATTTAACACAATAAATAGTTTCTTGTAGTTTGGTTGTACACCACTATTACCCATTTTTTTGTGATAGACAATACATATGCCATCACAAAATCTTATCCATATCTAGAAAGAGGTATGATTTGTCTCTTTCAACAATGTTTGGTAATCGAAAAAGTATCTTGTCCAATTGGAACATTGTGGTCGTCTTGAACTTGATTCATCAACTTGTGAATTAAGAAATATAGGAACATCATAGTTGGTGATAATTGCATTTACCCATTATTCTTAGAAAAAAAACCTAGATAGTGCATAAACAAACCACTATATACTCTATTTACTACTTATTTTTAAAAAATTTGCACTATCTTAAAGAACGTTTCTTGTTAGCTTGAACACTATCAATATCCCTACTAATGTGTCTGAAGCTATGTTTAATGTTGTTAGATGATGTAAATAATCGTCTTACCTAAAAGATTAAGTTTGTAGGAATACGCATCATTTATTTATTTATATTTTACGGGAGTCAACCAATATGCCCCATAACATGCAAGTGGGATATATGCTACCATATGAATTTGCACGTGGACGACAACGAATAAGGATGGTGGGAATCAAACACGGGACTTTCCGACTTTGATACCATATTAGATGATGTAAATGACCGTCTTGTCTAAAATCTTAAGTTTGTAGGGATATACATCATTTATTTATTTATATTTTATGGGAGTCAACCAACAAATGCGAAACGAAAAACAAAAAAGAAAGCCATGGTTATAGAAATTGAAGGCATTGAAAAAGAACAAAACCTGGGAGTTGGTAAGGTTGCCTAGTGGAAAAAAATGCTAGTGCGTTGTAGATGGGTGTATACAGTAAAAAATGAGGCGGACGGGATGATTGAATAATATAAGGCTCAATTGGTAGAAAAAGGATATTGCACCTTTGGACATGGAGGAGCAAGAAACAAAGTGTGGTGCTCAATCCAATGTGAAGCAGAGTTTAGAGCAATGGTTCAAATTGTTTGTGAGTTACTCTGGTTAAAGATATACTTTTGAAAACCTAAAGATTAATTAGGAAGGGCGAGACTGTACTGTGACAACAAGTGTGCATTCAACATGACCTACAATCCGGCCTAACACAACCGAACAAAATATATCGAGATTGACAGACATTTTTATCAAGGGGAAGCTGGACAACATACTGATTTGCACGCCTTACGTATCAACAACTGGTCAACTAGCTGATGTTTTAACAAAAGGATTGAATAACTCAATTTTCAAACTATTGTATCCAAGATGGCATGGTAAATACCTCTTTACCAAATTGAGGGCAAGTGCGGGAAAGTACATGAAACGAGTTATTTTTAGGAATCAAATATTTTGTTGGTCTTTCTTGTTTTTTTAAAGTGTACAACTAGAGATCCCATAATTCATGAGATATGACAAAGGATCGTTTACCTTTTATTTTTATTTTTATTTTTTTAACTAGAGATTTTGTGTACAAAAGGCTGGCCTATCTCTGTATGTAAATATACAGTTTTTGATAGAGTTTCTCTCATTTATTTATCGTTTTTTCTTCTGTTCAAAATCTATGAGGATTTTTATGGGAAAATGTGAGGGTTGCATAGTAACAAAAAAAATTCAAAGAGAACAACTATTTTTAGTGAAAATGATATTAGGATAACTATAGTTTGTTTCTTATGTATCTCTCTAGTCTACAGAATAGCACGCATAGACATAGAGGTATGAAGTCACTTTGTACATAGATGCTGTAGAATTTAGTCGAGCAGGTGTATAAATAGGTTCCATGGCTTAAACATCTGCAATACAAAAATTAAACACAACTTAAACTTACTTGAAATATAGACCTTGACCATCTGGTGATGACATGTGGTATCCCACTATAATCCTTAGTTATATACACATAAAACATGTGATTATATTGCTCGTAAACTAGATTCCTTGTAGGATCAAAAATTATTTGCATCCAATTATGGGAGGATTAAAAATGTTTTAATATGAATATAATTGTATTTGGGAGAGAGCAGATCAGTTGTATATATGAGACTTAATAAAAGAAATATTGGGAAGTTTGTCTACTTATTTGCAGGCTGTTTTGGCTATGTCAAGCTATATTTCTCTCGATTTATTTTGGTTGCTTTTATAATTTTCATAGTTATGTCTTGACATCTGTTGGTAATTTATCTGTGGCAGCTGGGAATCCCAAAGATGGCCCAATGTGGGTCGATACAAAGTAGATGTCTCATCATTTGAATCATTAGCTTTACCTGAGCTGCAGGTGAGAAATCCTTGATGTGCTTACCTGTATCATTTTTTTAAGTATTTCTGTCAGAATCTTGCGTTGACTTGTAGCTAAGTACTATAAAATTTGCTCTTTTAGGATAAAATCAGTAAGAAAAATTTAATGGTAAAAGTTGCTTTTTAGTTTGAATGTAGATTGGGGTTTATCTATGACCAGGTTAAGGAGGACACTGATCTGTTCATTATTGATGAAGTTGGTAAAATGGAGCTGTTCAGTTCTTTGTTTCTCCCTGCTGTTCTAAGAGTGTTGGAATCAAATATCCCTCTTTTAGCATCTGTCCCTGTTCCAAAATTTGGAAGAGATATACCTGGAGGTATGCTTTTCCAACCAAGTTCTGATCTTACTACAAATATATTTAACTAGATACCAAGTAGTAGAATTTTATTATTATTATTTTTTTATAAGAAAAGGGAGCCTAATTATTTGCATTTATATCTTGTGGGGTGCCTCCATCCACTTAGGTCTAATGTTCTATTAAGCTTGCATATTGCTTTAATTTTGATTAGTTCTTTTTGTTATGACTTTTTAAATAACAAGCAGTAACCATTTATATTACATTAATCATAGATATGTTCCTAGTTGAGTTTTTAATCCTTTTTTCTCATTGTTAAATGCATATGAAAGGATTAGCGTTTATTAGACTTCTTTTAGATGCCAGTTGTGTCTTTTGTACTTTTTCACGCTTCCTCCTCTCATGAAAACGCAAACACTTTGTTCACTTACATCTTCAAAACTGTTTTCACACTGTTCATCCAAATTTATCAGTCTAAAAAATATTGTATTCAAAACCTAATTTTCATTTAAAAATACAATATAAAGAATTATTCACTATTCGAAACATCAGAACCAATATCTATTTATATCACATCAAACACCGATTTTCTATTCAACTTTCTACTATCTCCAAACTAACCCAAAATGCTAATACACTTCCATATCTAACACACTGCAAGCTTCTGAATTAGGCAGTGCTACCATTTCTGTGTTCATCTTAATACCATCTTTAGAATTTAGTCTCAATTCTAAGTTCTATTTCATACTGAAGAAATTTTGGAATAATAAACTTCATTTTGGGACATAATTCCATACTATGCTTAATGTTGGTGCTAATGCGTTGACTTTGCCCAAGTCAAAACAGTTATGTGGCAATTTTTATCTTTTGAGTGGAGTTTCATCAAATATTGGAGCGTGGGATTTGTAGTTCATTATTATATTCCATCTTTGTATATAAAATGATATCTATATATATATATATATATATAAGTCTGTGTGCCTGTGAAGTTCGAAATAAAAATATTTGATTCAGAAAGATATACTAAATCAGAATGACACAAATTCCAAGAATTCAAACATGGATTGAGTTCAAAATTTTGAATGAGTTTCTGAATCCATTTTTTAAATTTTGAATTTTACTACCTATGGATATTACTAAAAAACCAAAGATCTAAGTAGTTGCATTTGATTGAGTATAACATTACTGGGAATTTGAAATATTTCATGCAAGCTAAATTCTTCTGCAAACTACAGTTTTGTCATTTCTCTGATCCACAAGTTGTGTTCTACATATGCTAAATGTATTGTTGTGCAGTCGCAAGGTTGAAAAATCATCCGGGCGCTGTAATCCATACACTCAACACCAACAACAGAGATGCAATGAGAGAGCAAATCTTCTCTGAGCTGGTAGACTCATTACGAAATCATTAGCTCCTTCCTACCGAAGATGATACTCTACCTAGTCTACTTACTGCAGTTGAGGTAATTCAAATCCATCCTGGGGGCAAATGATTGTTGATGTTTTAAGCTACAGCCGTTACTCATCTTAAACATGTGGCATGGAAGCACACACCATTGTATTTTAATCTTTTTGATAGTGTGCTCCAATTCTTGATCGTCAAGAGATTCACCATTGCTTATTCATGCTCGAATGCTTGCTATTTCATTCTTATATGCTATGCGCTTTTATTTAGTACAATCTGCTACACAGTCCCAAGAACTTTATATTTTTTCATTGTAAGCCATATCTGACTGGCATTTTTTGGCTGGATAATTGTTTTTTTTAAAGGTAGCCGGGGAAGCTGATGGGTTTACATACATGAGATGTTCATCCTCATATTGAAAGTAAGCCTGGTTTGATTGATAGTTGGGAATAATTTTAAGTTTTCGACTATCTTCTCCTGCAAATGTTTCTTCAGTAGCACATGTTTGAATGTGGATCGAACATATTGTGTGCTAATGATATCTCCAGTTCCCGATTAATGTAAGTGTATATGTGTAAGTAATGAAACTTGACTTAGGAGACCTCTAACATGTTGATTCTACTTGACTCAACCCCAATTGGTTTGGTTGATTTCAAGTAGGACCTTCTTTTTTCATTTTTTTTTCTTTTTTTTTTAATGTGTTGGGATCTGCAACTATTATTTTTTAAAGAGCACTAGATAAACCTCTGGGTAAAGCGCAATATCAAGCAAACTATGCTAGTTGAATAGGCTACACTAAGCAAGCGTAAGTTTGATCAAAAAAATATCAGGCAAAATTTGAACTGATGACCTTATAGTCGTAGCTTGTACCACGTCAACTCAATCATCTCTGTGCAATTTTTTTTTTTTAATGACATGGGAATCCCCAATACTACAAACCTATTTGAATCTATGGGTCGATAGTTTTGGTAATTTCAATCAAAACACATGCATTCGGTTGTCTAGAATGGCTTCTATCCGTATCCTGTTGAAGTTTGATTTTGCTTTTAACGTCTGAATTTGATTTGGCATTATTATTATATTTTCTTTCAAAATTATAAAATCAAATATTTATTGTTCATTTAATATATTATTGTAAAATTAATGATTCATTCAAAATATTTATTTATATACCATCAAATATTATATAAATTCAATTTTTTATTGCATTCAAATCTCACAAATCCGAAGCAACATACTCCTTGTATTGCATTCAAATGTCCACATGGACTTAGTCCTAAATTGCAACAATATAGTCACAACAAAATTATTTCTTAAAGTTCTGTTTTTTTTTTTTTTTTTTGTTGTCTGTGAGTGAAAATGTATTTATTTATTTATTTTCTTTGTATACTTTAGAAATGTTCTTCATCATATATACTATTACTATCGAATGATGGTCTCTTCCTTCCCCAACTCAATAAAAGTTTTTTATGATGATTATGATTATGAATTCGTCCACACATTTGTAATCTTACCTCTAGTGTCTAATTCTAATTGTAATTCCGATGTCAAATACAAATAAAACTAGGAAGAAATAATGAAATATAATTATGTGCTTAACAAGAGGCATGAAAGAAAAATGAAAATAATGAATATTGATGATGTCGGAACTAAGAGAATATATATATATATATAATTAAGGGAAAATTATTTTTCAGTCTTGTACACAATCTGTTATCCTTATAGAGCTATAATTAAATTTTGTATTGAATTAGTCCTACGAGTAAAAAAAATAATAATAATAAAAAGAATAGTCCTCAAACACCAAAAATTACATAGATGACAGGTGAGCAGTATATGAAGATCATTTCAACCGACTAATCTAATAAAGGGTTTAGATATGGTCGTAAATATATAATAAGAATGATCCCTATGAAACTAAAAAAACATAAATTTTCCTGTAATTAATTATTAAGAAAGCAGAGAGATAGTGAGTCCCTTTTTCCATGGAGTGGAAGTGGTCCAATTCCAATAAGAAACTAATGTTGAGGAGGGATTGGTTCATTTTCACAAACCCAAACTTTTTGAGGTAACATGCACATGCACATGCACATGCACATGTAAATGACAATAAAAGCAACACAATAACCAATTGAACCCAATCCAATCATATCACTTAATAGATAGTTTGATAAGGTTTTGCTTTTACATTCACAAAATTAAAGCAACTATATATCTATATGTCTAGGTCTTTGTCCATGTATAGTAATTAATTAAATCTAATTGTTTCGTTCAAAGTGGCTTTTGTGTATTATTTATTGATTATTTTATTTGTCCCAATGCCTAACATAATAATGGTTCTTGTTTTTGGAGCCTACTACATGTCTCCTAACTTGTATCTATCCCTCATTCTCCCACTTCCTTTTCGCCCTTGTTTTCATACCCAAACATCATTAAATATTGTCATATGCATGGGGATATTTTTAGAAATATATATAGGGCTGGGACTTGGGATAATAGAAGTAACCCCACCAATTTGAAATAATCAAAATAATAGCTACTTTTCAATAATAATAGACAATATCTATTACTCTTTCCTCCTGCCTTGAAGGTCATATTTATCTTTTGTGTCATTGTATTTAATATTTAAAAATATTTTTGTATAATTTTTTATGCAAATATTTTTCTATTAGTATTATAAGACACTAATAGAAGTATTTTTGCAATTTTTTCTTAATTTGTACTACATTTTTATATAATAATTAATATTCAAAAATCAAAACGCAAAAACTAGATGAGACTCTTAGAGCCAGACGAAGGTAATATTATATATTCCTCGGTAAATTAATTTGCTTATAGACATCGTGTGTATTTTTATTTAGCAATTTTTTTTGTCATTTTCTTTTACATTTTTTATATAAAAATATACTCCCTCCGTCCGAGGTATTATGTCCGTAGACACTAGAATTTAGGAGAGTTATAATTAGTAAATAATTAAGAATATATTAGTAAAAATAATTATTTTATACTAAAAAAATATTAAGATTAAGATAACTAATTAGTTTAATTAAAATTTAAAAAAATTAAAAAAAAATTAAAATTAAATTAAAGTGTATAATTCATTAAGAAAAATAAAAAATAAGTGGGAAATATAAAAATACAAAGATCAACATGGTAAGTGGTACGGATGGAATAATATTTTTTCTTATAAAAATCATATTTATATATATATAAATAAATAAATAAAACTAAAAAAGCTAAAACATCACTGACTAAATACATCATCTATATTTATATATAAAATATGCCACGTGATTTAATAATTATATTATACAAAACAACATTTCAATTATTGAGCATATAAATTAACTTGCAACCATATCGTTCTTTTCAATTAATCATTAAATTTGAAATGACATATTAACAATTTACATGTATTTCTTTTTGGCGTGATTATTGAGTTTGGATATTTAATTTTTATTTAAATAAAATTTTATGTAAATTTTGTTAAAAAATTATATTATTTTCAAAAACATATAAATTCAAATAATAAAAAATAGATAAAAATAGAAAAAGAAACACAATAATGTGTGTTTATTTTGTATTTTTGGGTAATGTATTTTTTATATTAGGAATAAGAAACCATGCCTTAATATAATAATAATAATAATAATAATATTGTAAGAAAATTATTTCGTTCTTAAATTTATTTATTTTGTTACTAATGACATTAGCGATGAAATTATTTCGTTCTTAAATTCACTTATTCCGTTATAAATATATTATTTTTTTTTGTAATATACTCCTTCCGTCCCACCACAATTGACACTATTTCCTTTTTGTCTGTACCATAATAATTGACACATTTCTATTTTTTGTAAAAATTATTAAATCAAAACATATTTAACAAACGTAAATCAACTTAATTAACTACATAACATATAACATCATAAATGACGTAGGACTCACTCAAAACCCCTTTATTTCTATCTATCTCATCAAAAAAATAAATAATTTTATCTATATTTAAAACTACACATATTTTATAAAATTAATTTATGTTAATTATAAATAAACAAAAATATTTTTTTATTTAATTGTATTATAGAAAATTTTATTCTCTACAAAATGATATACATATTACATATATTTTTTAATTGCTATATAATTTTTAAATATTTAAACATATATTTTGATTTTTTTAGTCATATATATTAAATTTACTTTAAAATTATAAATATTATTAATTATATAAAAAATAATATCATAAAAGAATTATTATTAATTAATTAAACATCTTTATCTTAAATACCGTGTCCCTAATCAAAGGGTTTAATTTCGGTGGGACAGAGGAGTATCATTTTTGTAGTAAATTATATATATTGTGTTAATGCGTGTATATATTGTAATTTTTAAATATTTTTTTATAAGAAATCATGCCATCCAAAAACAAAGTGAACAAACTCTTAATTACCTAGTTGATTATCCAACGGCTAAGGATGCTATCCAGCAATGGCGGATCTCGAATTTTGAATTTGGTGAGTCGATAAATTAATATTATTAAATTAAAATTAATAAATATATTAACAAAAATTTACATTAGAACAATAAGAAATTTCAAATTAACAATCACTTAGACATCAAAATAATTATAAGTGTTCACGATGAGATCTCTTATATTTTGGTATCGGCTGACAATAGCATCTATACTAACTTTCGTAAACAAATCTCTTTTTAGAAAAGTAACGAAACAATCATTTAATAATTACTCTTCCATGCTATTTCGTAAGTTTTTATTGATGATAGTTATAGTTGAAAATAATCTTTCCACGTTTGCCGTTGCTATTTTTCTTTATCTCAATATTTCATCGCATTAAACATCAATAATGAAATTACCTAATAATAATTCAACAATCATTAATTTTGCTTCTGACAATTCTCTATAATATAATTATGCAAGTAGTTGCAATCTTTTTTTCATTAAAAGAGGAAAGTCGAATGGAGGGAAAAACAACAAGACATCAATAATTCTTTTGATGGGTCTTGTCGAATACCGAAACTGATTCATGGAATTGAAATAGAACTAATATTTAAGGATATATTTGTAATTTAGTGATAATTAGTATTATTTTTAATTTTTTTTTTTTGGTCAATTGACCCACCTTGCCTAATACTGCATCGCCCTTGCTATCAAGTTAGATTTGTCGATATGAACAAAAAGGATTTTAGTATAAAATGATATGGGTACACACCCAAAATTAATGGCAGGCTCAGTACAAGTGCAGTCCACACTCTAGGAGGTTCATGGCCCAACAAAAGGTTCAAATCAGCGAGTGGGCCTACGGACCTGACTAATCCAGTGATCAAGTTGGGCAAGCTGTAAAAACAGCCCGATGAAAGCTATGAAGCCCAATAAAAAAATGGTTTAAAGGGCCGTTGAAGTTGTTGAAAGAATTTGGAGATGAGATCTTATCAAAACAAATTCAAAATATAACAACGAGATTCAAGATCAGGAGCAACATTCTACACGACATGAATCATCTTCTTCCTCTTCTATTTTTAATTTTCTTTGCATTATTTTTCCTATATTTTTTCTTTTAAGATTTTTTCAGTTTTCTTTTCATTAATTCCAGCTTTATTTC